TTTCCTCCCCTCTCCCCGCCCCCCACTCCAGGCCTCCCAGGTGGGGTCCGAGCGGATGGTGTCGGAGGATGTCGCCGTATCGTCGATGCATCGGCGGTGCGGCTCGACGTGGAGCCCGATTTGCTCCACGCTGGCGTCGCCGATGCATCGGCGCTGTATCGCCGATGTATCGGCGATGCGGCGCGATCCTCCGACCCCATCTACTCCGACCCCATCTGGGAGACCTCTACCCACCCATCCGACAAGATGTCATCCGTCATCTTCAGGAAAGCTTCGCCGAGAGGACGCACCGAGCGTTGCAGCGCCACGCGACCCCAGCAGTTTGGGACAGCGTTCGCTGAAGTGGCGTTCTGTGGGGGCGGAGACGAGATGGCGCCTCCTCCTGCCTCCTCCTCCTCCTCCTCCTCCTCCTCCTCCTCCTCCTTCTCCTCCTCCTCCTCCTCCTCCTCCTCCTCCTCCTTGACGTTCTAGGAATGCTGTTCTGGCACGATGCAGGATCGTTAAGACGCAACAGTATCGGTGATTCGTGGCGCTGATGTCCCAGGAAGAACGTTCTGGCGCAAGTCCGAATTTTCAAACGGTTGTCTGCCAACGGGGCACTTCCCTCAGCTAGAATGAATCCGTGTATGAGGCATATGAAGAGAGGGAGCTTGGAGGGAGGGTTTATCCCAACATCGTTGATGGGTCTCGGGTTTACACTGGTCCTCCTCCTCCTCGCCTTCCCCCTTCTCCCCTTTCCCTCCATCCCCCCACCCCTTCCCGCGCGGCGGCGATGCCGGAGACTGGCGCCTTGGCAGAGCCTGGCTGCTGCCTGGGGTGCCTGCGACACCTCCGCCGGCTCGTCTGCTGCGAGCCGAAGGCGGCGAAGCGCACCGTCGTCGAAGGCGCACCGAAGGCGCCCATCGTCTTGGTCGCTGGGCGTCGTCGGAGTAGGAGAGGCATAGCAGGAGGAGGAGGAGAAGAAGGAGGAGGAGGGGTGGGGGAGAGGGAGGAGGAGGGGGAGGAGGGGAAGGCTGGAAAGCAGGATGAGGAGGAGGAGGAGGAGGAGGTGGCGAGCTGGGTTCTTGATCCTCCTCACGCTGTGAATCACGATGTAGTAGGGTCACCAGGGATGATGCAAACAAATATCCTTCTTCCCTCCACTGCTCGTCCCTTCTGTTCCTTCACCTCCACTGATTTCTTATCATCCTCATCATCTTCATCTTCCTCATCTTCATTATCCTCGCTCTTTGCTTCCTCGAATCCTCCTTCTCCTTCTCGTCCTCCTCTTCCTCCTCAGGAGGAGGGGGCAGGGGTAAGATGGGGGACGATGACGCGGAGCAGGAGATGTGGCAGGTGGAGGGGTAGGGAATAAAGCAAGGACAAGGCGGAGGAGGAGGAGCAGAAGGAGGAGGAGGAGGAGGAAGAGCAGTGCAACGCCAAAACGCATCAAGATGTTGCAATAAGCCCTTCCTTCAAGGTCCCTCTTCACAAGGCCCCACACGAATGTGTGCTTATTGCGGGAAGTGTCTCTATTGAGGTGCGAGCGTATGAGACTCTCCAATATTGCCACTACACCGCTCCTGGGATCTCAACGCCGCGAATCCACTCGACTGCTGCGCTCTGACGATCCTACAAGGCTCGTCAAGAATGAGTTGGCGTTTTTTGTTCTCGGCGCGCTCTCTGACGAGTGCCCGAACGATCGGGCGCTTCGAGATTGATCGGCGCTTCCACGTACGTATGGCGAGGCCTCTAGGCTGCCGCAGACTTCCCTCCGAGCAGGGCAGGCGACCAGCGGAGGCGGGCAGGAGGAGCAGCACCGAGGGCGAGGAACAACCCGGAGGAGTGCGTGTACGGTCGGACCGAGGTGTGAGATCGAGGTAACAGCGTGTCTTTGAAGCCGGATCCGGTTCAAAACAATACGCAGTTCTTTCAGATCGTTTAAGCCGGATCCGGCTTCAAAAACACGCAGATCTCTCTTGCGGGGAGGGTGCTCTGGATCCCCTGTGAATCGTACCCCCCCCCCGTAAACGGCTAGACCCCCCCCACCGACGCGGTTCATTTTCCGAACCCCCTCTCGCAATCTATACGTGACGTGCAGGACTCCATGGAATACATGACGTGCAGGGGCTACCCAAGCAACGCCACACTCAGCGGCGAGTGGCACCAGCGGACGGCGCTCAAGTGCCTCGGTCACCATCTAGGCGACGACGGAGGCATCGCGACCTGCCTGAGTTTCACGATCCGTAGCATGTGGAGAGCTTTCTGGGGAAACATGTCCAAGGGGCTCCAGACCGCACCCATCCGGGCGAAGCTGCGGTTCATGCAGACCGCCATCAATCCTATTGCGTCATTCCGCTGGTCTCCATTGCCTTTCCAGAAACGCGCCGCCGACAAACTCGACGGGGTCCAACGCAAGATGGTGTATATCCTGGCAGGCGTGAGGCCCAGGGCCTCCGAGTCCCCTGCGGCTTATGCGCAACGCCGCCAGAGCATCGCTGGCGGCTTTGTGGCGACTGTCGGCAAATGGAGTCGTGATTGGGCACGATCAGTCAAGTCGTGGCACGACCACGTCGAAAGGCACCACGATCCTTGGGCCTGGCCTTGCCGTTGCTCCACTGGCACGCCAACGACTGGCTCCATCGCCAGCGCATTGCGGCTTCATCCGCCAACGAGTCCCGCACTCGTACGAGGGTCTGCCGCGGCCGCCCGCAGAGGAGATGGGAGGAAAGTCTCCGGGATGCTATCCAGGTCGCGGCCTTGCAGGCGTAGCCCTACTGAGGTGCTGCAGTTCCTCTGAGTGGCGCACAAGTTTCGGGCCACCTGGCTGTGGCCCCGCTGTTTCCCTCTTCTTCGCCTCGCGTCTCTGCCCCCCCCCGGCGCGAGATGCGCCACACTTTGTTGCGCGCGCGTTCTCCTAAGCAGTGGCGGAGTGCGCCTGTTGTGTTGGCTGCGTTTGTGCCGTTTCCTCCCTCCCTCTGGTCCTCCCTCCCCTTCGTTCCCTCCTCTTCCCTTTCCTTCTCCCTTGGCGTGGTGTCCATCGCTTGCCGCGCAGCCAGCATTTTCTTAGCGAAGTGCGGCCGAACTGCTGCGAATCGCGATGCCGAGAGTTACTCATGAGTTAGGCTTGTTTTATCGCCCGCACATCAGCACAACACAACAACAACAACCCTCTCGCAATGAAAGCCTAAACATTCTGGACCTCCCCGGCACAAGAGAACGCCCAAGGTGCAAAGACGGCTTAGAGATCTAATTGAAACCGTGTCTTGGATACCGCGCGCCGCTAGGGTATTCAGGCAGCGCAGCAGCACATGCGTCGAGTACGGTAGGAGTAGCTCGCGCGGGGAACCGCCCCAAACAGCCATTGCCGGATGGAGTTTTTGAATCGGAGGGGGGCGTTGATGATATCAGTCCGGGTAGTACTGATGTGATGGAACAGAGAACAGGACACCGATGGCAACGGCCATGACAACGATAATCGTGGTAATGGTGATGATGGCGGAGGCAGCAGAGGCAACGATGATGGCGATGCTGATGGATTTGGCAGTCATGACGATGAAGACGATGACGGCGACTGTGACGTTAATGATGGTGATAGCGGTGGTAATGACAACGGAAATGATGAGGATGCTGATAATGATGGTGGTGGTGATGATGATGATACTCTGCAGGCTGGTGGCTGGCGGTAACGAGCACAGGATACGAAAATATCGCGTTCGCGCGTCGCGAACGTGCATGCGCCAAAGGCACTCTCATGAACTGGACCCCCCGAACGTCGGCTTCAAGGAAATACCCTAGTAAACCAACCCCCTTCTTTCCGAAAAGGTGCTTTAAACAAGCGGGCCCGGGGTACGTTTAGTATGTGGTCCAAAGTACCCTCGTATTCCTCCTGTTTGTTGGCTGCTCTTGTGCACCCCTAGAATGTTCTGTGTGTTTTTGGCCGGCGGAGGGCCTCGCGTTCTTGAGGGATGTTTTTTCTGGCCTAGGTCCGATTGTAGCAGGAGGGGGGAGGAGCTGATGGGCGCTCTTACCCTACCCTGGAGGTTCCACAGTCTATCTCCAATTATACACATTCTGTCCGGCTGTGCTGGGTGCGCGGAGTGAGAGGAGTTGGAGGAGTGAGAAGGAGGAGGAGGAGGAGGAGGAGGAGGAGGAGGAGGAGGAGGAGGAGGAGGAGGAGGAGGGAGACGGAGTCTGGGGTCAGCTTCGGCACTCCAGGATTGTGACCCCCATGAGGTCCTCGTCCCACGGGTCATCTTCGTGCCTGTGCACCCTGCAATCTCCTCCTCCTCTTCCTCCTCCTCCAATTCCTCCTCCTCCGCCTCCTCCTCCTCCCCCTCCTCCTCCTCCTCCTCCTCCAACTAATCCTCCTCCTCCTCCTCGTTTCCGTTCTCCTGGCCCTGGTTCTCGTCGTCCCCGCTCTCGGGGGCAGCAGCGGCGGGTGCAGGAGGAGCAGAAGCGGGCACGGGCGCGGGCGGAGGAGGCGGGGGAGGCAGGAGGGAGGTGCAGGGTGGAAGAGGCGGAGCCGCAGCAGGAGCGGGACAAGCACAATGATCGGCAAGACACACAACAACTGAAAGTCACAGAAAAGGAGAGTCATAAGACAGTCGTAGTGGTCAGGATGAGAGGGAGGAGACAGAAGCGTCGCACAGCGGAAACCCGGTCGAGGGAGGGTCGATCAGAAAGCCGGCCGGGGGCGTTCGGAAGGTTCTCCGCCGAGCAGCGTGGTGCAACTCTGATCCTCATCGAACCTTCGATGGTGACATCATCGCCAGCACCACCTCCACGCAGGGTAGGTTCGCGTCGTGTCGACAGGCGGCGATCCGGCCGCGGGCGTTCAAGGCTGAGTGCCGCCGGCGACCCGGAACATCGGTCGATGTTGAACGATCTGACGTTTCCGTTCACGGCCGATAATGCAGGGTTGCACGATCCCCGCGGCGTCAGGAACCAGCGCCGCAGTCGGCACCGCACGAGCCTGCCGCACTTCTCTCGCAGCCATTTCTCCGCATTTTTGTCCGCGGCTTCCGGGGAGGGGCCACGCCCGCACTGCCCGGGCCCCGCTGCGCGCGCCACCGATACAGGCCAGGGGCGAGGGCGCACAGCCCCCTGCCGGCGTGGAGATCCTGCGGCAAGCGCAGGAGACGTTCTAGGGGAACGCATAATGACATAAACAGAAAAATCCTCCCGTCGTCCCCCCCCCTCCTTCCCGCCGCCGCCATGCCCCGCCTGCATGCCTGCTCCGCCCTCCTCCTCCTCCTCCTCCTCCTCCTCCTCCTCTTTCTCCTCCTCCTCCTCCTCCTCCTCCTCCCAGAGCAACTCGGAGGCCCGCGCGGATTTCTCGGATCCGTGCTGGACCCCCCTGGCGGCGCCTCCGGCGCCGCCCCTGGCGCGCTCCGCGCGCCCAGGGAAGGGGGTCCAGCGCGGATCCGAGGAATCCGCGCGGACCTCCGAGGTTTCATGTTTGTGTCATTGCTTGTTTCCCTTGTGGCTCGAGCAGGGTATCGACTGCAGAGTTAATGTACCCCACACTTAGTTGTGCCGTCGAAACTACGGCAAGTACGTAAAATATTCAGTACATCTACTGGGCATTCTATGTTTCTTCGCAGAATACCATATAGTGGGGGCCCATGCCAAGAAAGGATTCTTGGCATGGGCTCCCACTATATGGTATCTTGGGTTTCTTGGGTTCTGATGGTTTTGCAATGGAAAACGGACGTTCCCACACCCAGAATCGATGCACGTCCTGGGGTCTCAGGGTTGGGTTTCGTGTGGAAATTGAATTGCTTCGCTCATTCCGCCGGCCCGTATTGTGCCATCGCGGGTGTTTGGGGGGTCTTGGGAGCCCTTGGAAGCTTCGTGGGAGCTTCTTGGGAACTTTAGGAGGCCTCGTGGATGGCTCTGGGTGGGCCCTCTTGGTGGTCTCTTGGGGGGGTCTGCCTGGCCTCTTGGGGGCCTCCTGGGAGCTTCCTGGGGGTCTCTTGGGGGCCTCTTGGGGCTTTCTTGCGGCCTGTTGGGGGCCTCTTGGGGCTCTCTTGGGGGCTTCGTGGGGCTACTTGGGGGCTTGTAGGGGCATTTCGGGGGCGTGTTTGGGCGGGAGGCTCAAAATTTCCGTTCAGGTTGCCCCTGTGGACCTCAATCATGGGGCCGTCTTGGGGCCTCTTGGACCGTCTTGAGGGTTTCTTGGGCCTTCTTGGAGCGCTCTTGGGCCGTCTTTGAGCGGTCTTGAGGGTCTCTCGGGCCGTCTTGGGGTGATCTTGGGGGCCTCTTGGACCGCCTTGAAAGGTGTGAAAGACGAAGAGGCGGATATGTTAAAAATGCACGCTTTCCTAAGGGAATGAGACGGTTTTTGCTTGTGGGAGCCCTCTTGAGACGCCGCTTAGGGACCTCTTGGGGCGTCTTGAAGGCCTGTTGGGCCGCCTGGAGGCCATCGTAGGCGTTTGGGAGTGATATTTCGGCGTCTCTCGGCCTCTTGGACCGTCTGGAGGGCTTCTCGGGCCCCTCTTGGACCGATTTGGAGCCCTCCTGGGCTCCAAAAAAGGGTTCTTGAGGGTTTCTTGGGCCTTCTTGGAGCGCTCTTGGGCCGTCTTTGAGCGGTCTTGAGGGTCTCTCGGGCCGTCTTGGGGTGATCTTGGGGGCCTCTTGGACCGCCTTGAAAGGTGTGAAAGACGAAGAGGCGGATATGTTAAAAATGCACGCTTTCCTAAGGGAATGAAGCGATTTTTGCTTGTGGGAGCCCTCTTGGGACGCCGCTTAGGGACCTCTTAGGGACCTCTTGGGGCGTCTTGAAGGCCTGTTGGGCCGTCTTGAGGCCATCGTAGGCGTTTGGGAGTGATATTTCGGCGTCTCTCGGCTCTCTTGGACCGTCTGGAGGGCTTCTCGGGCCCCTCTTGGACCGATTTGGAGCCCTCCTGGGCTCCAAAAAAGGGTTCTTGAGGGTTTCTTGGGCCTTCTTGGAGCGCTCTTGGGCCGTCTTTGAGCGGTCTTGAGGGTCTCTCGGGCCGTCTTGGGGTGATCTTGGGGGCCTCTTGGACCGCCTTGAAAGGTGTGAAAGACGAAGAGGCGGATATGTTAAAAATGCACGTTTTCCTAAGGGAATGGGACGATTTTTGCTTGTGGGAGCCCTCTTGGGGCGCCGCTTAGGACCTCTTGGGGCGTCTTGAAGGCCTGTTGGGCCGTCTTGAGGCCATCGCAGGCGTTTGGGAGTGATATTTCGGCGTCTCCCGGCTCTCTTGGACCGTCTGGAGGGCTTCTCGGGCCTCTCTTGGACCGTTTGGAGCCCTCCTGGGCTCTGAAAAGGGACCTTGCCGGGAGTCTGCCGGGTGTCTGCCGGGACCTTGCCGGGAGTCTGCTGGGACCTTGCCGGGACCTTGCCGGGACTTTGCCGGGGTACTTTTCGTCCGGGGACCCCCAGGGCCCGCCCCGCGCGCGCGAACTAGAAATATTGTTGAGCAGTTACCCGAGATCTTAGCACGCCTCTGGCCCGTTGGGCCGGCGAATTTTCTTGTGGTCGGGCCCCTACTGCACAGTGAAAACCCATGCCGAGAAACACCCTGCTTGCCGCTGCTTGCCTCCAGGGTGCCCTGGGCTTCTTGGGTTGCGATGTTTCTGTTGTGGAGAGCGTGACGTGCCTACACCAGAAATTGATGGACGACCTGGGGTCTCAGGGTTGGGTTTCTTGTGGAAGGTTTCTTGTGGTCGAGCTCCTACTGTACCGCTATCCCTCCCTCGTTTTCCCAATTTTGGGGCCCCTGGGAGGCCCTCGTCGCCACCGCTGGATTCGCATCGAAGTTCTGGTCAGAACGCACCCCTGGAGAGGTCCGGCCAGTAGCGGGATCTGTACCTTTTGGCACCCCATCCATGAAATCGGCCTGCGAGCAAGCCCATGTCACAGTGGCCGTCGATCGGGGCAAAACATATATACATGAACATATGTTGTGTCCGCCGGGGAGCCTGAAAGCTGGGTATCGCAGAATGGTGTTCGCGGCAATCTACTTAGCAGCCGCAACGGCGTTGTCCCGATCACGGCGTCGGTGCAGGCCGTCTTCGTGGGATGCCCAGCCGATTCCGCGGGCACCCCCCTGGCCCCGCCCCCGTCGACGATGCCAGGGCACTCGGGGGGGGCAACATCGGTACACCCCCAACCCCATCAGGACACGACTATGCGTATACACCGAAAGCTGTGTACACCAATCACGCCCAATTGGTGTACACAGCACTCCTGAGCACTCCTCCCGAAAGCACTCCTGAGCAGGAGGAGGAGGAGGAGGACGGACGGGCCAGGAGGGACAGGAAGAAAGAGAGAGAGTGAGAGAGACCGAGAGAGAGAGAGAGAGAACAAGAGAGAAAGGGAGAGAAAGCCAGCAACGATTGTGGTAGGGGGGTCGCTGGGGGGGGGGGCTGACCATATATATATATATACACATATATATATATATATATATACGTACACTCCATCCGGTAAACAACGAGTGTCAGTATACACCGAAAACGGTATACGCCAATCGCTTGGGCTGGGTTTCGCCGCCAGGGGCGGGGGCGGCCGGGGTCCGCGGAACTTGGCCCATTCCTGGTGGGCGAGTCGTAACGAGCTTGCTTATGTGCGTCTGCGCGCACGCAACCACGCGCATGCATTTACGCAGCGCGTGGAAGACGATAAGGTTGCCATGTTCTATCGAAGCACATCTGCACAGTTGTTGCCCTCCCAGTGGGGGCCCCGTGGGGCCCCAATCGAGGCCAATTGTTGAAGGGAGGTGTGCCCAAAGGTGTCTCATAGCAGGATGTGTGACCGGGTGCCTCTGCCGTGCCGGACGTTCCCGTCGATACCCCCCCTGGAGTTCTGTAGCATGCAGTTGTGGACATGGGAGCGCCCGAGGGCATTTGAATGCATCGGCTCGAAGAGGCGTCGTGATTCCGCTGCGCCCCTTCCCCTCAACCCCTTCTAGAACCTTGACGACCCCCAGAAGGTCCATTGGAGCCGCAATTAAGGCACGCTCTGAAATGCCAATAGCTCCTCATCCTCATCCTCATCCTCCTCGACCTCCTCCTCCTCCTCCTCCTCCTCCTTCACTAGAAACTCGAAGAACACCAGAGAGCCCTCTAGAACCCTCTTCCACCCCTCTTAGAGCCACTCCCTTCTCTTCTCTCAGCCTCACTCCTCTCTCACCTATTCTTCCTTCTACTCATCATCAGCAGCATTAGCCGCATCATCGTCGTCATCGGCATCATTCTCATCAGCATCAGCGTCAGCGTTAGCATCAGCGTCGTCGTCGTCACTATTCACTCCTGACTTCTCCGACTCCCTTTTCCCCCTCCTCACTCCTCCTCCCTCCTCCTCCTCCTCCTCCTCCTCCTCCTCCTCCTCCTCCTCCTCCTCCTCCTCCTTCTCTCGTCCTCCTCTGTAAAGATAAGTCTTCCCTGTCCCACCCCGAGACTGGTCGAAAGGGCGGGCCGGGCGTTTCGCTTGAGATCTCATCTCTGCTTATGACCCTGAAGATTAAACATTGTCGACCGTTTCACAGAAGGAGGGCGGTTGGTTGTCAAAGTGTAGCTCCCACGTTGTTCGCTTTGAATCATTTGCAAGAGCTTCACGAATTGAGGATGGGTCGTTTTCAAACTGTGGCTCCCGCTTAGCGCCGTGCACAATAATTTCCCTTGCCTCTGTAGGGGTCCTAGCGGATTCATATGGTTAGGTTAGGTTTGTCGCCGATTTTGGCTGCACGCCCGGGTGCCCGGGTGCCCGGGGGTGCCCGGGGGTGCCCGGTGCCCGGGTGCCCGGGGGGTGCCGGGGGGTGCCCGGGTCCCCCGGTGCCCGGGTGCCCGGGCGTGCCCGGGGGTGTCAGAGGGTGCCCGGGGGTGCCCTATAGCCCAATAGCCCTATAGCCCTACAACTCTATAGCCCTATAGCTCTAGCCCTATAGCTCAATAGCCCTATAGCCCTGTAGCCCCCTAGCCCTCTAGCCCTGATTGGGGTTTTCCTCCGGTATCATTACACGGATTGAGCGCGGGCTGATTTCAACATGTGGGGCCCGCTTTTGCGCTGCGCACATTCTTTTGAACGTTGGCAGGAGCTTCACGGATTGAGGGTGGTTGGTTTCCACAATGTGGTTTTCGCACTAGCGCCGTGCATTTTCGTTTAAACACAAATGCTGGGTCGTCACGGATTGATGGCGGGTCGTTTTCAGAATGCGGTTTTCGCTTCAACACCGCGCGCATTCGTTTCAAACAAATTGCAATATCTGAATTTGTTGATGGCGGTTCGTTTTCAGAATGTGGTTCTCGCCGTCGTAGCGCCGCGCACATTCATTTTAATTACCCTGTGACGTACCCAGCCCATTTGTATCAATGGAAACGAGGAGTTGGCCGAAACTTGTATGGACAATCAACTTGATGTGTAAGCTACTTGGGAGGCGTCACTGTGCTGGGCCCCGCAAGCAGGCCTCGAAATTGGCGACAGTTTCACAGATCGCAACCCCCCAGGGATGGCGAGGTCTAATTTGAATCTGCGTGTGGCGTCACTGTGCTGGGCCCCCCAGCAGGCTTCGAAAGTGGCGACAGTTTCACAGATCGCAGCCCCCCCAGGGATGGCGAGGTCTATTCGAAAGTGGCGACAGTTTCACAAATCGCAGCCCCCCAGGGATGGCGAGGTCCCATTTGAGCCTGCGGTGAGTACCCACTGTGCTGGGCCCCTCCGCAGCCCTCGAAAGTGGCGACAGTTTCACAGAACGCGGCCCCCAAGGGATGGCGAGGTCCCATTTGAGTCTGCGGTGAGTACCCACTGTGCTGGGCTCCCAGCAGGCTTCGAAGTGACGACAGTTTCACAGATCGCAGCCCCCCAGGGATTGCGAGGTCCCATTTGAGTCTGCGGTGAGTACCCACTGTGCTGGGCCCCCCAGCAGGCCTCGAAAGTGGCGACAGTTTCACAGATCGCAGCCCCCCAGCTGGCACGCAGCTACGAGCGAGGCAGAAGGCAAGGGGGAAGAGAGGGGCGGGAAGGAAGAAAGGAGACGCGCGAGCAGAGCTCTATTCAAAACGAGAACCCAACGCAGGAGGGTTGGGAAAAAGTTGCAAGATTTTCGCGGATTTAGGGTAGGTCGTTTTCATAATGTGGTTCTCGCCTTAGCGTCGCGCAAATTCGTTTAAAGCATTGCAAGAGTTTCACGGGTTTGGGGCTGTTCTGATTGAACATGTGGTTCTCGTTTTTTTGCGCCGCGCAGATTCGTTTTAAACATGTGCAAGCATTTCAGTGACTCTCATGGTTAACGTATTAGGAACGGCGTGCGGTGTTGAAGTCCCAGGAATGGTGTTCTGGCACGATTCAGGATCGCCAAGACGTAACAGTCAGGTTAACCCGTGGCGCCGGAGTCCTGAGAATGGTGTCTGGCACGGTTCAAGATGTTCACACGGTTGCCCCCCACGGGGCAATCCCCTCAGTGGCAATGACCCCTTGTAGGGGCCTGTGAGCCGGGCTCTTGGAGGGAGGGTGTATCTCAAGATCGTTGATGGGTCTTGGGCTTACACTGGTCCTCCTCATCCTCCTCCTCCTCCTCCCGTTCGTCTCTCTCTCTCTCTCTCTCTATTCCTCCTCCTCCCGGTCCGCCCTCCTCCGCCCTCCTCCCCTCCCCCTCCTCCCCTTCCCCCCCTCCAGCTCCCAGCAGACGCTCGATCTTCCGCCTCGGCGTGGCGTGTGCGCCGTCGGCAGGCCGGGAGGCGCGCGCGCCCGCACGCGGGGCGATGGAGTCCGGATCCGCCCTGGCCGCCTGCGGGCGGCCCGGGTTCCTGTCCTACTACTGGGCGGGCGAGAGGAAGGCCGGCGCGCGGAGGAGCGCCGAGGATCGAGGAGGGGGATCGAGGAGGAGGAGGAGCACGAGGAGGAGGATCGAGGGGGATCGAGCATATCGGGGATCGAGGGCCGAGGAGGAGGATCGGGGCTCGAGGCTCGAGGAGGAAGGGGTGGATCGAGGATCGAGGGTCAAGGATCGAGGGTGAAAAGGGGGGTCTCGGATCGAGGGGGAGGAAAAAGAGCAGGATCGAGGATCGAGGAGGGGGAGGCGGAGGCGGAGGAAGAGGAGGAGGAGGAGGAGGAGGAGGAGGAGGACCGGTGAGGATAGAGGAAGAGGGGAGCGTGGCCACAGGGGGCTTCGCGCCCCCGGATAAGGTCATCTGCACAGACGGGACGCACGGCAACGGGGTGAGATATAGATGGGGGAGGGGAGGAATGTGCACCTTTCGAGCAGCTCCTGGGCGCGGGGTGGTTCTTCAACGCCCCACCTCTCGTTTGCCCTCCGCCAACTGCGCCCGTTCGTCAGCGCCAAATCGAGTAAAAAGATGTCGTGTCGGACCAAGGTATAAGATCGAGGTCGGTTCGGGGAGGGTACCCTAATGTTCTTCGTGCTTGTTGGATGCTCTTGTGCATCCTGGGGTAGGCTACCCTCAGTTTGGCCGGTGAAGGGTCTCATGCTCTTGAAGGGTTCTAGGCCCCCCTGGTCAGAACGTAGCAGATGGGGTCGGAGGGTCGCGCCGCATCGCCGATGCATCTCTGATGCGGATCTAGGTGGAGCCCGATTTGCTTCGCCGACGTCGCCGATGTATCTCCGATGCATCGCCGCTGTATCGCCGATGCATCGCCGAGGCGTTGCGATTTTCCGACCCATCTTCTCGGACCCAAGTTGAGAGGCCTTTAAGGCTGCTCTTCTGTCTCAGGTCCGGCCATGGAGTCTCGGAGGTCCACGTGCATTTCTCGGGTCGGCGCCAGGCCCCCCCCCCCCTGGCGGCGCCTCGGGCGACGGCACTGCTCCCAGGGTGCCTCCGAAGGTGTATGTTGATTTTGTTTGCTTCTCCACTTACAGTCGGCCCTGATTTGTAGGTCGACCCTGTCGAATATGGCGGGTGGTAATGAGGGGTGACCCAAATGGGGGGTGAAGAAAGGCACCCTAAAGGAGCCCTTTAAGGCCCTTGTTGGAGCCCCGACCTTGTTCGATCAACAGAAATCGATACCCGAAGGAAGCCAGGATAAAACCACGCAAAGTCAAAAAGCACCTCGAGTTCGGAAACGGCGATTGCGGCGACGACTTGAAACGCTTAGACCGGGACGCAAGCGCCACCCACATGAGCGCAGATGCACCCACAGAGGCTCGAGAATTTGGTGAGGACGGGGGAGACATGTACATATTTGTTCTATCACCGGCACCAGCCGCCACACAGGCTGACGTATACTAGCACCTATACTATGCTGCGGCTCAAAACGGCAGTGTCGATATGCTGGAACTCTGTGTTGGGGAAGGCGGCATTACTTTGCTGGCTTTCAAACGTGGACTATTTCTGGGTTGGGAACCTGGACAGGACGACGAACTTTAACCTCGGCAGATACGAGGTACATACACATGCATCACGCGACTCACGCATCTGCGTTGTGGAGGTTACAATATTGCAACCTAGCTGCAGGACAAGGGGGGCCACCGTCATATTTCACCACGCGTCATCTCATGCGGCACTGTAGTTGAAACCCACGACAACTTCAGATGACACTACATCAGAGGACAGCCGTCTGGTACCTGGGTAGACCAGATCTGCCCATAGACCGAGATAGCCAAGCGTCCGATAACGGCGAAACTTGTCATGGATCAGCGCAGCACGGGCCTCAAAGCGGCCGACGGCATCCACGGTGAGAAGCGGAGTGGAAGTATGGCCCATGGTCTCGTCCTGGTTCTACCTTTCAAGCAAGTCACTTGCGACGGGAAGCATGTCCATGCACGAGTCTGCAATAAACCCCTTGCCCAGGCAGCTCTCCATACTCACCGCGCGCAGTCAGCATTCGCCGAGGCGGGTCGGCTTATGCGAGACAAGACAGCGCATGGATACATGCTGGACCTTGGGCACGGAGACGCGCAGGTCTACCTTGTGAACCATGGGTTTGCTCCCAGGGACCCCGCGATCCACAGGGCGTCTGCAGGCGCCATGATACGACCACCACCACTGGGACTCGGGTGCCCAGCTTGCGCAGACAATGCCGATTCGACGAGCCCTGCACACGCGCGCGATGTCAGAAACTGCCATTGGCACAACGAGTCCGCACACTACTGCGGATGCCCGAACTGCAAGGAAGAGCACGGACGGAAGTTGCCAGGGCACTGGCCCGCTCCAGGCATATTCCGGTTTGCCTTTCCATGCGAATTGCCACCAGGCGGCGGCGCACGTCCGTCAGGGCATGGCCGAGGAGTTTTGCGACTCGTGCGGGGAACGACGCGCGTGGGAGAAACCTGGGAACACCACCGTATCTACCAGGCCAGTCCAATGAGGAGGTGGAGTGATATGATGTTTTACAGGAAATAGATGACCCTCCGTATCTGTGACTGCTGTGTGAGGTGGAGCGCAGGGCAGGAGATCCCTGGCCGTTCTTTGCATGCCAGCGTAAATGCCGATCAAGATGGTTGGAGCATGTCCGAACAGGCAAATATCTTCTACTCTGATGATGAAGGTACCTTGAACAGGGATGCGGCGAAAACCATCCTGAAGGACAAAGGCACTGAACTTCGGATGCGAACTCCAGGTCAACCTGCAATGACCATCGTGGCTAGGACTGGCATCGCACGCGGCATAATGCACAGTGTGGAAGACGACCTTAACATTAAATCGGGCCTGCCCCTCTACAGGGGGAATACTCAAACATAGTGAAAACATAGTTTGGGGAAGTGGAAAGTACAAGTTGTGAGCATTCTGGGGCATTGTTTGATTATTTCTTACGCCCGAAATCCCTCCGTAGGTGGACGCGCCCGACTTAACCTTAACAACAGGGACATACCGATGCAAGTTAAAAGGCTCCTCGCTGAAGCCAAATTCGGTTGCTTGCAATGCGTTCACGTTCTACAACAGTGTAGCACCCCGCAGTGCTCTGCTTGGGCGCCAGCCGGTATGTCTATCGTATTTGGACCTGCCAGGCTGTGGATCACCGACGGGGGCGCACGACCAAAGCAGAGAACAGCATGTGCGCAAAGTGAGCGCAGAAGCCACGGCGCAGGCAACTGCTGCGGAGAAAGCCAACCGAACTCTGCACACACCTGCCAAACAGGCTGGACAGCATGACTAGAAACGAGGAGACCGAATTGACTACCTGAGGCCCGCAGCAAACAAGGACAACTGGGGAGATTGGACTGGGCCATTTCCACTATTACGCAACATAGTTGATCGGGGACAAGTATCGTACAAACAGGTTATGCGATATCACTGTCCAGTATCCCGATGTCCGACAGGCACTGCGCGCAGGAGCCTTGATGACAGGTGAACCTGGATCTGATACTGGCACCACGCACACAACGGTAACCTGAATTGCTGGCCTCGCTGTAGGGCGGCATGCCATCGCGCTCGGTTGCGCCCCAGATTCGCGGGGGTGCTTGCGCGCGATGATTGGCAGCAAGATTATCCCGACGGTCCACCTCGCACAACTGTATCTCATCCGGAAGAACTTTGCATGATAATCTAGTCGCAGCTGGTCTCGCTGAGAGGCCACGAACATCAGATGCCAGATTCACTGGGTTCGATGAGGATCTGGCCAAGTTTCAGGAAGTAGCAAACGGCGTTTGGGGCAGCAACCGAGGAGAGCGACCGCGGGGAAATGGTGCCAAAGAGCCACCGGCTGGACCTAACAGGGGCCAATTCCCAGCGACCCAGGAGGAAACGGGGAAGGATTTGGAATCGTGCGTCGTGGGAGGGTGGCATCAAGAGCTCAAAGAAGAAAATGAGCTATGGCGTGAAGAGGTATTTGGATGTCATTGTGGCCCTGCTCTTCATGCTGCGCCGACGCAAATGACGCCGGACGAGCTCGCGCTGGTCTCTGCGACGCGCGACGCTCAAGGGAACTTACTTGATGGGCCTGGAAAGGCCAGACGACGACATGGATTCTTAGTAATACCATCACATCTATGTGAGCACGACAACAGCTACGCGTTCGATAGAGACTACCATGTAAAAAGTGCGGAATTGTGATTTAGATTTGACATGGCAAAAGTCGCACTTTCAGAACAACAGCGCCGTGTGTTGGAACGCGCGGACGTCGCCGCTATATGCATATGTGTTACGACGGTGTCCAAACGCGCAGTGGCTGTAGAGAAGATGAGATTCTGGCGATGGCCGAAATCCCAGCGAATCTTTTGAAGGCCTCGGCAGTATCATATACTGAACTGCGCGCCCGGCACGCTGGCGATTGCTTCTGCGCGTGCTCGCTAGCAGAGGCCTCAAGCGTCACGGCATCTCGCTTGGTGCATAAAAATATGCACGTTAAAGCTCGAGAAGGTCGAGATGGGGCGGGCGAATCGTCTTAGACACGCGCCGACGGGCTTCGTGGGCGCCGAGGCCATAGAGACGGCGAGACCATCCCTGGCGCGGCCCGAAGAGCCAGGTGGATGCTTTGCGCCAGCGCAACAGACCGCGAGAAAGCGCGGGCACTTGCATCTCCGGGCATCGACGAAACCTTCCTCAGAGGCTTCATCCATTGAGATCCTGCAGCAACCACTGGAGAAAATGACGGGTTCGCGTGTGTTCACTCCCCCTCCCGGTTCGGCTGCGGCACTCCTATCGACGCAGGTATCGTCAAATTTTGACGAAGCAAAGCGTTCGCTCCAATGCTTGGAGCCTGGCGCGGGCACCGAGGATTCCCGAGCATTCTCGCTCGAGTTCAAGGCGATCTCGCGTGAATTTGCGGTCCAAGGCAGTAGGTGCGACGAAGAATTTGAGGCGGGCCCGGACCCAGTCACAGCCGAGCACGTTGGCGGCGTTGATCTGGCCAGACGAGAACCGCAGCGACAATTGCGCGCAGCGCGTGGCGCACGCATGCACTAACTGTGTTGCGCGTCGCTCCAAACTTCCAAAGGGCGACGCCACTATGGACCGAGGTGAGTGCGTCAGGCAGCCGCGACCAATCCTACTACCCGGGCGAAGTGGGGCTGCACCTGGGGCAGAGGTTACGCAGACGGTGACAGACATGTTGATCTGCGTGCGGGGAGCATTTGCCTGTGCTCTGATTACACATGTATGGCTCATGTTCTACGTCGTCTCGCTCCGACGAGTTCAGGTGCCAACGTAGATTCAGGGTCGGAGGTTGAGCGCGGCGACCAGGAAACCATTTCTTGTCCGACGACGAGGTCGATCACCACAGCGACTCTGGGTACCGGCGTTTCACGGACGATGCCGACGACGAGGAGAAAGGGCGCGGCATTCGCGGGGCAAGCCTGCCGCGGCCTGGCAAGGCGCTGCATGGCACTGCCGCCATCCACTTTGTGGACGCATATTGCACGTCGCATCGACTTCAGGTGCGTCCGAGCTGCGCAGCGGAAACGCAGGCTGCGGCACATGACCTCCTGGACTGTTTCCGAGGATTGTCACGCTGCGCAAGATGGGAGCCAATATGCCCCCAGAAGGATTAGACCACACAGGTGGCCTGCCTCTGTATAAAAGTGCCCCCTCTCGACGCGGAATCTGTCTCCCAACCCCTATTCAGCGCGGGCCTGGGGAAGGCTGCAGCGTGCATCCTTTTTGGACATATCATTTGGATAAGGCAGATTGTGGGGGTGAACGTCGGACAGTTTGTTCAGTGGTGGGCGTGAGTGACGTGATTACGAACGGGCGGTGGGCTTGGAGGCGGGTAAGACCAACGGTACGAAACATCATCAATTGGCGCAGGTTGAGTTGGGGACGGAGGGCGTCCACGGTGGAGAATGCAAGGGGGCGCTGGCCGAAAGTTCGCTGACCCTTCTGGCTGTGTTTGTGTGAGGAGGAGGAGGAGGAGGAGGAGGAGGAAGAGGAGGACGAAAAGGAGGAGGAGGAGGAGGAGGAGGAGGAGGAGGGAGAGGAGGAGGACGAAAAGGAGGAGGAGGAGGAGGAGGTGAAGGAGGAGGAGGAGAAAGAAAAGGAGGAGGAAGGTCCACATGATGAGCTGGGGGGACCACAACGCCTGGGCGCTCACGCCGACGGAGCTCCCGCCAGACGTCGACATCTCGCCAGGGACGAAGCTCCACGCCATGTGCAGGACGTCGTCGTCGCCGCGCGGGGGACGAAGAACCGGATGAGGTGGAGGAGGAGGAGGAGGACGAGGAGGAGGAGGAGGAGGAGGAGGAGGAGGAGGAGGAGGAGGAGGAGGAGGAGGAGGAGGAGGAGGAGGAGGACGAGAGGAGGAGGAGCAGGAGGAGACGCATCAGCAGCAACAGCAGCAGGTGAGGGATGCGGTGGAAGGGGAAGAGAGGGGGGGGGGAGGGAAGGAGGTGGGAGGAGGTGAAAAGACGTGGGAGAAAGAGGAGGAGGAGGAGGAGAGGAGGAGGAGGAGGAGGAGGAGGAGGAGGAGGAGGAGGAGAACTGGAGAGGGGAAGGGATGAGCTGGAGGCGTCAGGAGAAGCAGGAGGAGGAGGAGGAGAAGGAGCAGGAGGAGACAGGAACAGAAATATGGTGGAGGAGGACTCGGAGGAGGAGGAGGAGGGATGAGGAGGAAGAAAAGGAGGACGGGCAGCAGCTGGTTGGGTGGGGGCGGGCACTGGGGGCGACATCGCGCCTGCAGCGAAGCTCTGAGCGGCGCGCAGGGCCCACGAGTACAACGGCGTCGTCTGGGCCGCCGAAAACGGCGTGCACCACCTCTACACGGACCACACCGAGTGGGGCTACTGGAAGTACGAGGCGGGAGGAAGAAGCTGATGATGCGGATGGCGAGTGGGGATCGAAGGCGATGATGGGGAGGAGCTACGGGAAGTACGAGGCGGGAAGAAGAAGCTGATGATGCGGATGGCGAGGAGGGAGCGAAGGCGAGAAGGGGGGAGGAGGAGCTACTGGAATTACGAGGCGGGAGGAAGGAACTGACGAAGCGGAGGGCGAGGAGGGAGCGAAGGCGAGGAGGGGGAGGAGGAGGAGTGGAGAGGGGGGTTGAGGAAGAGGAGGAGGTGGTGGGGGACATGGGGAGCGGGTGGGGAACGAGAATGTAGAGCAGGGGCGGTATGAGAAGGAAGGGCGCCCCGGCCCCTCTCCCAGAACCCTGCTTCCTGATTTACGTTCCCCTCCTCATTCTCATCATCGTCCGATCGTGGATGCCGTTCCTCCCTTCTCCTCCTTGCGGATGGTCCTTCTTCCCTCTCCTCTTGCCTCCCGATGTGCGTCAAATCTCAGCTACTTGCCTTTTCGTTGGCGACGCGTGTAGGAACTTTGGGTTATATTGCTGGGGCAATGCGCCAACAGAAAATAATTCGCTGATGCGGGATGAATATCGGGAGGCCGTGGCAAGAGGGGAAGAGGGGCAATCCTCAAGGAATAGAGAGAGAGAGGATGATGATGATGATGAGGAGGAGGAGGAGGAGGAGGAGAAGAAGGAATAGCATGAATGGAAGAAGGAGTTGAAGGAGGAGGAGAAGAAGGAGGACCAGGAGGAGGAGGGAGGAGATAGGAGGGAACAAGGAGGAGGCAGGGAGGCGGGAGGCGGGAGGAGGAGGAAGGAGGAGAGACGAGGAGGAGGAGGAGGCGGAGGAGGAGGAGGGGGAGGAGGGGGAGGAGGAGGAGGACAAGCTAGGTGCGCTCGCGTCATATCTGACATCCTACCCCTCCCTCCCATCCCTTACCATGGCGTACATCCCCTCTCTACTCGCACAGTCGGATGTCGAGCAGGGCAATGATCGCGAAAGGGTACGCGATGCATTGTAGAGCACGGCATGGCATGGCGTAGAAGAGCACCGCAAAGCGTAGTATCAACCTAGCATTGCATTGCATGCCGTGGCATGGCACGGGAAATGACGCCAGCGCTGCAGCGGGAGCACGAGTCGAAACGAGCGGAAGCGCGGAAATGAGGCCAGCGCTGCAGCGGGAGCACGATTCGGAACGAGCGGAAGCACGGAAATGAGGCCAGCGCTGCAGCGGGAGCACGATTCGGAACGAGCGGGGCCCGAAAATGAGGCCGGCGCCTCAGCGAGAGCAGCATTTTGAAAAAAAATGCAGGCGAAAACCCAACTCCCGGGAATCCTGTGTGTAAAAAACAGTACGCGGGGGGGGTCGAACACTCCCAGCACGTCATCAGGGGAAGAGGGAGAGTAGTAATCATATTGAGTAATTGTGGAGGAGGAGGAGGAGGAGGAGGAGGAGAGGAGGAGGAGGAGGAGGAGGAGTGGGTGTGGGGGTGTGTTGGCGGTGGCGTTGGGACCGTTGTCTTGGCTTCTGCAGGAGGACGGAGGAGGAGAAGGAGGAAGAGGAGAGGGAAGTTCCCCTCCATCCCCCGAGCAGGTCTTCGAGACGGTGGGGATGACCAAGTACACGCCCCTTGCCGCGGTCGGAAGACCAGGCCCGGCGCCGGGCTCAAAATGTCAGTTCGTGTTCCCCCTCTGGGGGCCGTCGTGGGCCGGTCTTGGGAGCATCCTGGGCCGTCTTGGGGCCCTCGGCCGATTCATCATTACGGAAGTACGCAGGTGACGTGAACAAGATTATTGTAGCTGCTCCTTGGGACTCGCTGTCCTCCTTGTTAGACAAGCTGCGGCTGACGGATCACTGCCTCCACGAAGTTCTATCTTTTTGGGGTGTCGCCCAGAATAGACCCAAGCAGGAAATCCTCGTGCACTTTGCTCATGAGGGTATTTCGAATAAAGCAGGTTTGCATTCCGTGCACCTTGCTGGGATGGGATAGGTGCGTGAGGAGGCTTTGTATTTTTGGCCATTTATTTCCATGCGGGATTCGGCTCGATCGGAGGTGGCTCGTCTTTGTCATACAGCCCGAGAGGGCTTCCACTGAAAAAGAGGTCTCTGAAGTCTAATAGAATTGGCGACCAGGTGGCGCAGATGCTTATTCGTCGGTGTTGTCCCGAATGGTGTCGGGGCTGGAGACCTTCGCCCTCAATAGCAGGGGTTCTGGCATCCTAGACTCCTGTCTCTCCCGCCTGGGTCGGGCCCCGATGCGGGGTAAGGCTGCGAATTACGAAGGGGAGCGCGCAACGAGCTTATCGAACAAACCGGTTTTGAATTTTCGGAGATCTCTGCCACCGGCACAAGACATGTGGCTCCAACGTTTTACGATGTGCGAATCATGGGGAAGACAGCCTTACCACCGCTCGCAGTTGCTCGTGGCTTTGTTCGGCACTTTTACATTTGACGCAAGGTCTCACCTGTGGGAGGGCCGCCCCACGCGATGGTCCTCCCCGCACCTTCGACAGCTAGCCCGTGACCTCGACGGGGCATTTGAGCTTCTTCCCTATGATGTAAAACGCTCTGTGGCCAGAGACATCAACGCCTCTTCAGATGCAGGGGCCATATAGGAGTTTTGTGGGATCGACTTGGAAGAGCTCCGCAGCAAAGCCGATGGGGTGAGGTGTCCACGGCCGGGGTGGACAGAGGCTCCGCGTACGCCTCAGCCTCCACCAATGCCTGCTTCGGTCTCGGGAGAGTCCGTATGCAGACACAGTGAAAACGGTACGGAGTGTGGGGCGGTAGTCTCAAAGAGGTGTGCCTTACCATCATATACGAAGGCAGCCCATCACGTACGAAACATGGTTAGCGTCATTACCCCGGGCAACGCGTGTAGATGTTTCAAAACAGGTTCTGGCATGTCAGATATCATCAGTCTTGCATGTTGGGCGATCTTTCATCCGTGGATACTGTCTGTCGGGAGCATCGTGCACTTGAGCGAAACTGAAACAACCCTGATCTTACAAGTGTTCGCGTTGCTATGATTAGGTAGGGAACATGGACGATCGATGCAGCCATTTGGTCTTTAGCCACTTGCCTGGAGTCATCCAGGCAGAAGATCCACCGAACGTTGCACCAACCAGATATGCTCGCAGAGGATCGGATGAAGGAGGTGAAGCTGGCCACGCCAGCTGGGTGCAGCCCGCGGTCAACCGCCCCAGGTGGGGGAGGCAAGGATGGCGACGGACCATAGCCCAAGGACGTCAAGGGCGAAAGCACAAAGAAAGACGTGATGCTCCCTCTGTGCAAGCTGGCCCTGTGAAACAGCGCTGACATCTCGGACATGGCGAGCCTCGCGTGCACGAGGTCTCAGCGGCGTCTTGGAACGAAAACATGATGACCAGTTCCACGCAGGACGTTGCAGGACTCGTCGGCCACCACCGCGTCAAACCACAGAAGAAGTTCGAGGCCCGTGAACAGATGTGCACGATCATGTGGACCTTCAGAAGCAAGCGCAGCTGCGCGACGGCGGCCGACAAGCGGCCGATGACCCGCGAAGGAAGTCGAAGGAAGGCGAGGGCCTCCACGGCCCAGCACCCCGAGGCCCTCTCGAGAGGGCGATCAGCAAGCTTACCGAAGACCTCGAGTGAGCAGCAGCTGACAACGAAGTTTCCGACTGCACGCCAGCGAAGTGCCCGCCTATCGGCGTTGAGGGCGCAAGGTTTTGTCCCCCACTCGTCCTTCCCACTACTCCTTGCCTCGGCATCCTCCCCCCTCCTCTCCCCAAGCTGGTGACCACCAGCAGGCCCATTCCCAAGCCTCGGACTTTCTTATGCACGGGACGAGCTTTCCAGTCCAAATTCCAAGGCGGCCCCCCGGAGGCCGAGGCGAGGGAAGTGGTGGTCGTGGTGCTGGAGGTAGAAGGTCCCAGCCCAAGGCGCACTTCGCCGCGCCTAAAAGGCCTTCCTCTCCTCGGGGGGCGAATCGGCGGGGCCGGGGCAGCTATGGCTGCGGGTGGCCCTCAGTTTGTCTCGCAGATGTTTCTTCGGCTTCGTAGGTTAAGCCTCCTCAGGGCACAGCCTCAGGCGGAATTTTCTCAACTTGACGCGCCGTCCGCAACGGCATGTTGCAGCCAGCTCTTGGCTTGAATGTGGGCCCCTGAACTGAACATGAAAAAGAGCCCCCTTTGGGGGCTGTCTGATGGCAGTTTTCGGGACCTCTTGGGCCGCCCTGGGGCGCTGGAAGCCCGAGAGGCGAGAACACTAATTTAATTGAGCAACCAATTGGGGCAAATGGTTTGTGCTTCTTGAGGCCCTCTTGCGGGGTCTATTTGAGCCCTCTTGGGGCGTCTTGGGGGCCTTTTGGGCCGTCGGAGGGGGAGGAGAAGGAGGAGAAGGCGAAGGAGGAGGAGAAGGAGGGGGAGGAGGAGGAGGAGGAGGAGGAGGAGTGGGAGGAGGAGGAGGAGGAGGAGGAGGAGTAGGAGGAGGAGGAGGAGGAAAAGGAGGAGAAGGAGGAGGACCAGTGTAAACCAAAGACTCATCGACGATGCTAGGATACACCCTCTCTCCAAGCTCCCCCTTGGGCCGCGATCGGTGGTTTCTTGGGGCTCTCTTGGGCCGTTGTAGGGCCTTCTGGCTTTAGAAAAACTCACGCGTCAAACCACTGAAGGCACGCGGGGACATGCGGCACAGGCCAACGAAACCCATCAATTCTGGGTGCGGTCCCCTCAGTACTCTTTGTCAGCCTTGAGGACTCAATGTTGTAGATCCATACGGGTATATATATATACATCTTTCTTTATATATTCCCGGATAGCTCTCTGAGAGTTGCCAGGGTTTCATTGTATGAAGCCGTAGCCGCAAGGTAGCCCCGGAGGTCGTTCCCGCTTCCGGCAGAAAAAACTTCGGCGCGGCAGGTTTAAATTTGCAGCGTGTCCCGAGAGGCGTTTCCTAAGCGTTTCCCAAGACGCGTCCCTAGAAGCTGTCCAGAAGGTTGTTCGGAAGCCCTCTCCAGGTCCTTCCAGAGATCTTGGACAGGCTTTTGCACGGCCTTCGCACGGGTTTCGGATCCCACAAGTATATATGTGTGGATGCTGCTTGTGAACATATGTCAGCCTGCGTGGACCCCAAGACGTGTGCGTATACAAATCGAGGTTGTGTATTTCTAAATGGAGCTACATAGGTGGCGCAGTCTACCTTATGCATGAACTATAGGTTGTGCAATATGTTTGGTGCAACCGACGTGGCGCAATCAATGCGATGCGCTCTAGGTTGTGCAATATGCGTGGTGCAGTACATGTGGCGCAAGCTGTGTGGAGCAGTCTATGTTGTGTAAGACATGCGGAGCAATCTAGGTTGTGCCAAATACGTGGAGCAATACATGTTTCGCAATATGTGTTGTGCAAGATACGTGGTGCAACCGACGTTGTGCAGTCGACGTTGTGCAATCGATGCGGTGCAACCTATGTTGTGCACTCTATGTGGTGCCATCTATCGGGTACAAACCATGTGGTGCTAGATCGCGGTGCCATGTATGAGATGCAGCTTGTTTTCTGCAATTTATGTAACGCGAAGCAAGACATAACAATACAACATAGTGCAACGCGCCGCACCGCAACACACTAATGCAATTTAATACAACTTAGCGCGAAGTAACGCAAACGTGCCAGGCAATGCAAAGCAACGCGAGGCAATGCGAATCAATATACTCTAAGGCGCGTACATGCAAATGAATGCAACGCAATGCACGGAAACGCATAACTATGCATCATGCAAAGCAGCGCAAAACAGTGCAAAGCAATGCGATGCAATGCAAAGCACGACACAGCAACGCAAAGCAATGCGAAGCAATGCAGGCCCAGACGAACGGCGGCGACGAGGCGGCGATGGGGCGGCGACGGCGACAACGTAGCCGCCAGACCGACGCCCAAGCCCAGACGATGGGCGGCGACGAGGCGGCGACGAGGTGGCGACGGCGACAGCATAGCCGCCACACCGACGCCCAGGCCCGGACAACGGGCGGCTACGGGGCGGCGACGGAACGGTGACGGCGACAACATAGCCGCCAGACTGACGGCCAGGCCCAGTTCTCCCATCCATAAAGCAAGAGCCCCGGATTGCAAGCACCGCCTGTAGGATTTGTACACGTCCATGTAAACACGCATGTGTATAAGCATGCATGTGTATATACAGTTGTATTTACACCTATACACGCGGGTGGTTGAAAGTGTGTATGTTGGGATTCCCAGATCCCAATCTACTTCAGCCGCCTTCTCACTTCAAGAGTCGAGCGGTCTTCCCCCTTACCTCCTCTTTAGGGGGCGGGCGGAAACCCAATCTAATTACTTCCTTCTTCCAACCGACGGGCCCTCGGCCACACACGCCCTTCATGAGTGCCCATGCCCTGCAGGCTACTTGTCGGTCTGGTGGGCCGCAGACGGCAGGATCCTCCGCAAGCACATGGGCGAGCACAACGGCTGGGTCCCGCAGGACGAGATCATGGAGCCCCCCGTGCCGATCTTGGCCGGGACGCCGGTGTACGCCTTCGCCCGGTCGGGGGAGCATGACGGCGTGTCCCGGTCTCGGAGGGCACCCGACCTGTCGATGAGGGGCTGCCGACCCAGCCGATCCACCGACCAATCGGGCGTGCGTCTCGCGGCGTTCCACGCGGCCCACGGAAGGGGGGGGAAGGCGGAGAGGGGAGTGGAGGAGGAGGGCGGGGGGGAAGGGCGGAAGTGGGAGGAGGGAGGGACAGAGATGGAGAAGGAGGAGGAGGAGGAGGAAGAAGGCGGGAGGAGGGGGGAGGGGGGAAGCAGGATGGAGGAGGAACAGCAGCTGGAGGAGAAGTGCGAGGACAACGGCGAGGACGAGGAGGAGAATGACGATGCAGGGTGAAGAGGACTAGAGATCTCTGATCCCCCCTGTACCCCACCAGGACCTCCCTAGACTTTTGACAACGAATTGAACACCCTGATGCCCTCCTCATTCCTCTTCCCTTCTCCTCGTGTGCATCTCCCATCTGAATTATGCCTCCAGAAGGAGTAGGACGAGGAGGACCAGGGATAGGAGGACGAGGGTGATAAGGAGGAGGAGGAGGAGGAGGAGGAGGAGGAGGAGGAGGAGGAGGAGGAGGGAGGGGTGCCTCTAAGGGTCTGGGCGGGCGAGGGTGAGATCCGCCAGCTCTACCACGACCTGAACAGCTGGGGTGAGTTTCAGTGCCGACCCACCGTCTGCTCCTCTGGTTCCTCCAATGTTTTCTTCCTCCTCCTCCTCATCCTCCTCCTCCTCCTCAGTTCTCCTCCCGCCTCCCTCCTCCAATGCCCCCTCCCCCTCCCCCTCGCCGTCCAGCACCCCGTCCTCTGCCTGCATCCCTTCTTCTTGCGGATCTCCCGCGTGAATGGTAGGCCCATGTTGTGCTCGTCATTCAAGGGGGCGCTTCTTATAGTAAAAGGAGTCTCTGTAGGGACCTATGAGGAGGAGATTTAGGACGGGAGGGTACTGCAGCATCGTTGGCCCATCCGCGATTATGGTAATATTTCTCCGCTTCCTCTTCCTCTTCGTCCTTCCCTCCCTCTCTCAGTCATCTTCCATCTCACTCCCTACCCCCCTTATTTGTTTTTCCCAACCATCCTGTGGTGTTGGGCCCTCGTTTTGAAGAGACAGCGCCCCGCGTCCCTCCCTCCCGCCTCCTCGTCCTCCTCCTCTTCCTCCTCCACCTCCTCCTCCCTCCTCCCCCTCCTCCCTTCTCCCAGTCCTTGCCCCTGCCTTCATAATGTCTCTGTTGCGGTACACCCCTCACACGTTTCGCGGCCCCATAGGGAGCCCCACCTAAGGTCCCAGTGGCGCAGTTCGCATGACGCCGCTGCCCCATTTTGGCACACCCCTCACACGTTTCATGGCCACATAGGGAGCTCCACCTAAGGTCGCAGTGGCGCAGTTCGCATGGCGCCGCCGGCCCATTTGGGCACACCCCTCACAAGTTTCATGGCCCCACAGGGAGCTCCACCTAAGGTCGCAGTGGCGCAGTTCGCATGGCGCAGCCGCCCCATTTTGGCACACCCCTAACACGTTTTCTGGCCCCAGAAGGAGCTCCACCTGAGGTCCCAGCGCGCGTCGCGGGAATTCCGCGCTGCGCTCTGCCCAGAGCCTCGCTCGCCCCCGTCGTCGCTCTGCCAAGCGGCCACAGCCATGCCCGCTATCAGCCAGCAAGCTAGCTCTCTCTGCTCCGCGCAGCGGACGACCCGCGCGCGTCTCCAGGACCCCTCCGGGGCGACCAACGCGCGTCGCGGGGATTCCGTGCGGCGCCGCGCCCGCAGCCTTGGACATTGGCGTGCACGGGCAAAGAGGGAAAAAAAGAACGGGAACGAAGCGGGCGCGATCCTCGTGAGGAGCGTGCCGACATGGGCGTCGCGGCGTGCGGGCGCTGCTGTCGGGGTTCCAGGGGAAGCTTCCTGCGGCGGCCACGCTCAGTGTCACGAGTACTCAGGGTCAGGTATACTTGAACCATTAACGCACACACACACACACACACACACTCTCTCTCTCTCTCTCTCTCTCTCTCTCTCTCTCTCTCTCTCTCTCTCTCTCTCTCTCTCTCTCTTTATATATATATGCATGTATACACCAGGCGCGGCCATGCTCGCATTCGTGCAAATATAACACTCACTCGCACGCAAACTCATTCACACTCAGACTCACTCGCGCTCAGTCTCGCCCGCGTTCAGTCTCTCGTAATTCGACCTATCGTCTTCGTTCGTGTTGTGTACCCCGCCACGCAATTCGGCGCGCCCCTGATAGGGTTCGTGGCCCCATAGTGAGCGCCATCGAAGAAGATATTTACAATTGCGGTATGCACAACTTCATATGGTTGGGTCTTTCGCCAGGCTCATTTTTGCCTCTCTCTCATTCTCGCTCACTTTTGATTTTCTCTCCCTCTCTATCTGTCGTTGTCTCCTTCTCTCTCCATCTCTCTCTCTCTCTCCCTCTCTCCCACTGGAGTGCTGGCCAATACGCGTATATATCAATATCATTCTAAGGGACTCGGCGATACTCGGGCCGTTCCAGCGGATGCCGCTCGGATGTTGTAGGCTCACGATCACCACCATGCGACACCCTCCGGTCTGTCTGTGCCCTCTGCGCGGCGCCGCACTGCTCATCTTTTTGTCCCCCCCTTGCCGTCGATCCTCATGCGTCGTTATCCTCTGTCCCTGACGCGTCTCGATAAAAGGGCGTCGCCTGCAGCGTTGCCGATGGCCGAATCGCGCGCGCCTTTCTGGGTGGGTGTCCCCCGTGACCCACCGCCAATATGACACGAAGGTTGGAGGTCAATGCGTACGCCCATCGTCGCCACGCGTTGGAAGTCAAATCGTGGGTTCTTTTCGGGATACTCGTGTATATTCGTACGATACAGAGAAGATTAGCCTGGCCCCAGCGCAAGGATGACACGCACAAATCGAAAATTGCATCATCATCCGAATCATAATCATCACAGCCGTCATGTCGCCGTATTTGGTAAAGTTTCCTGAACGGCAGGCGCACACAAGCAGTCATTCCTCCTTCATTGGGATGTTGAGCGCGCAGGGTTCCTCATGGCCGCTCTCGACACTCGCCATGCGTTGTTGCTTATGATGTTGCTAGGGCGGGTAGGCACCGCGGGTGGAGGCCCTGTTCGGTGCTGGTGGTTTTTGGCAATTCAATTATTCGGCTGCTTCGACGAGGCCGAGGCTTGAGGACATTGAGGCAGCATCTAAGGATATATGAGCGGTGGCGCCTCTTAGCACACAGCTTCGGATGAAATATATTCCAGCGCAGAGGAAATACATTGGTGGTCGACTATTTTTCGAAGCTGGATGGCAGCGAGGACCTAGTTGCCCTAATCGATTTTCTGGGATTTCCGTTCTGTTGCATCCCATTTTTAAACAGCATCACGTTCGGAGTGCGAGGGGATGAGTGTGAGTTGACTGGTCATTGCCTGGTGTCCAAAATTTAAAGCAGGAGCGATGCTGTTATTATGCTTCGTGTGTATTTTCCGCCGCGTGCGACACAGGTTCGGAAGCAGATGCAGTACAAGTCCAAGGTTGATAAGCGTATCAGACGGCTACAAGGCGAGCTTGCGACATGTCCAGGGTGACCGACGCCGATAGCTCTCACAGACCTCAATGGCGATGTAAGGGCCGGCCGGGCAGAAGATCTACCAGAGCCGGAAAGCACGGCAACGGGTCCATCGATTGGCGCATCGTTGGCACGCTATCTTGGCGCTGCCTTCGCGAGGGGGCCCACTTCATGGACATCGTTTCGATGGGGTCTTCGACGCCTGCTTTCTCTGAATATGGAAGTCAGTCTGTATATAAGCTTGCCATTACATTATCGTCGCCTGCAGCGGCGACCTTGGGTGACGCGTTGCTGGGCAAAGTCGCAAGTTGAAGCTGGTAGCGACGAAGAGACGGAAGGACCACACACATCCCAGCGATGGTCCAGTTGGGGCCCGTTGCTGGATCGGTTCGCGCGCCCGCACCTCCTGATTTTACATATGGTCATCGGTTGGACAGAGATGCGATGATGGCAGCGGTGCGGGGTAGCTTCGAGCAGCGAGATGTCTTAATATAAGTGGAAGAGGCGAATGGAGGACACGCAGGAGCGATGGCAGAGGTTATATGAGGGGCCCTATCTTGGTGAGGTTTTTGAATGTTTGGCGCGAGTGTTGTGGCAAGCGGGCGCAACGTTTTTTCTCACTGCAGCGCTGTGGTTCGAGGGCGGGCAGAGAAAGCGCGAGCGTAGTCAGCGACTGAAAGATCGACGGGAATTTCGGCGGCGTCTGAGGGAAGTGGAAGAGGACGGGCCGTGGAGGCTGAGCTTTCTTCCGGAACCGAGATGATCACGACGGCCCTCAGGAGGAGGGGCAGGGGGGCTGGGGCCGGGCGGGGGGCGGTCACACAGGCGATGTAGGATGCGTGGAAGATGCGCGATGCGCATGGGGTGGCAGCGCATGTTCGAAAAGTTGCTGGATGTAGGGATGGCCAAAACATCGGCATCACCTTGCCTTGCGCACGGCCATGCCCGCGGGGGGCGAGCAAATGAGGTTATAGGGGGGCCGAGGGGCACAACAGAGGCACGCGGGCGCAGGAGCTTTTCGAGTGGCCAACTGCCCCTGAGTGCGAGGGGCCACTGGTGGACATGAATGCGAAGGGGGGCGCGACGGACGACGCGAAGGGGCTGCGCCGAGCATTCAGGTGCACTTCAAGAAGGAAGGCTGGACCTGCATGGTCGGCCCCCGGTGAGCTTCGGGACGTGGCGTTGAATCCTGGGGCGGGGGTTCGCCCTGGACAGCTGCGCGGTGGCCCGTGGGACCGATGGTTTTTTTTCCGCCAGATGCTGGCGCATTCGCATTGCGCGAATATGTCAGAGATGTTGGAATTGCATTCGCGCAACGGGATCGCCCAAAACTCGTGATGAAGGACGGACAGGACAACACTAGACGCATCCTTTGCCGCTGGCTGGAACGTCACAGCTTGCTCGCAGGTAAGAATAAGGCGCGTGGGCCCCGCGGCGCAAGGAGACGCCTCTCTTGGTGAGCAATGTCGTTGCTTGGCGAGCTAGAGAAATGGGGGTAGTCTTGACCAGCCGAATTTTGCTGTGACAAATGCTCAAGGCAGTATTCATCCGACTCGTCTCATGAAAGCAGCGGATCTTCTGCGCGACTGAGTGCCCCACGGGTTGCTAGGCAGAGAGTTGCGCAACCTGTCATTTCGATTCCCAGCAGCGTTGCTCATCGAATTTTCAGGCCGCGCGCTGGCGGCCTCCTGGGCGACCCGTTCACGGTGGCAGCGTGGACTTGGGCGCTCAAGCTTGCCATCTCTGAATGGCGACGTCGAGAGGAGGCAGAGGGGCTGAAATCTGAGGAGCTTCGGGCTCGTTGCTATCCTCTGCCTCGCCAGGTTGACTCGCCATTCTGCCA